TGTTCTGTGCAAAGTTTGGGCTTTAGTTTACGGCTTTTTAGATGTATATATATATATATATATATGTATATATATATATATTTATATATATATATATATATATATTATTGCAAAATTCTATATCATGCATATACATTCTTGGCTTCGGGTTCCTTATTTAGTTCTTGAGGCCTGTTCATGTACTGCCCGGCAACCAGCTGAAAGCCAGGACTCGGGTAGCGATACGAGTACTAGGATCCAATATATTCGGACACCCCATGGCCAATTTTGACACCCAGCCTTAATTAAATCTTCACCCGGTGCTACACTTAACGATGAACCCTAAATCTCCGATTGCACAGTGCTTGTCCAAGACCCAACTTTTCGGATTTTATATAAGACTAGAGTCAAAGCCCTTCATATATGCAAGCCCCAACCCTAAGCCCTACAGATTCGGCATACTTCCTCAGAGGCTTCGAGTTTCCAGTTGTAGTTCCAGGGCTTTCAAGTATGTGCTGTTAGCAACACATGAGTACCATCAAACACCGACCCCAAGCTTGTGGTTTCAGACTACCTGGCCTGGGGCTACCCTAATCTTGCCCGATGGAATCTCTACACCACAAACACTTAAACCCTACAGTACACCCTAGCTAATCTTGACCTTAATTACCACACCCCTAGTCCTGAACTGCAGGTCCGTGTGGCTGCCGAACCGCCGGTCCGTGTGGCTGCCAAAGCGCCGAGGGCGAGGCCTAGGTTATTTAGCGGTTTTCGGTTTTAAGGGTTTAGGGAAGCTATTTTTTTTTCGGAGGTGTAGGCCTGATAGGATCGGCAGGGCTCTGTCTAACCGGCTTGGGATATTAAGGGCTTTTTTGGAACTCGGCCTACGAACCCAATCTGGGCTTGCCGGTTCAGGCATCTGTAAGTTCGGGATATTCGTAGAGTATTAATACTTAAGGAGCAGGAGTGGAAGTAGTCCACGGCAATAGGAGTAGTAGTCGTAGTGGTAGTGGTAGGAGTAGTGATAGTAGTAGCTAGTAGTACTAGTAGGTGTTGTTGCTGTAGTGTAGTAGCAGCAGCAGGTTAGTAATTTCCCTAGTACAGTACTGGAACGTTCGTGACTTCGGGATGATCGGTGACCAAAATATGATATATGATTCTGGGTTTGCAGACCAGAAAGCTTTCATTCTAGCGGGTTACAATCTCTGAACCTTTGAAGGAATCGACATACTGCACTGGGTTTGACCCACATTCATTGCACACCGAGGCTGGGCCAGGACACCCCCTTGCTAGCATGTCTTGCACAAAGACTGCATCAAGGCTTTCAGCTTCGTGCTGAACTGATCATTCCAGTCGCACATCTGAGCAACCACATCAGAAAGGGCAGACGTGTTGCACAAGGCGCCCGACAAAGCAAGCTTTACTTCGAGACGGCTCTCGAGGCACTGCGGTGACTGCAGCTGGACGTACGATCAACCATTCGGGCACCCCCCACACACGACCACCCCGTTTAGGTTTGCCACGTTCGCCATACAGAGTCAAATAGGAACATTGAAATCTGCTGATAATGATATAGCACCCTGAGCCCTGGGGGAATTCGGTGAAACATCTAGTCAGCGGATTGAAACTCGGGCTTTGGAAAGAACGTTTGTAAGGTGTGGGATTTCGTACCCGGAGCTTGTTCCGATTTTAGGGATTTGGACTTTCGGCTTATCATGTAGGCCCCAAGCACCGTTGAGCCCCAACAGGTTATAGTTTTGGGGTTTAGCAACCTAAACCGCCCTAAGCCCTAAGCCTCTTCCACTCGCTAGTGTTAGGGCTCAGGGTTAAGTGAATCCTTTATATAGTTATCGGGACAAATCATACCCCTGCACACTTGGGGTTCTACACCCAACCCTTTGGTGCCTAGTTGAACATGAACAGATCGCTAGATTGAGTTTACGACCCAACCCTTCCCGATTTGGGGTTTAGCACTTAGCCTATATCACAGAACCTTGCAAGTATTTTTCTGAGGTTCAATTGATGGATTAGGGCTGGAAGGCTTCGCCTCGGACCCCGAGTTTGGAGATCTATGCTAATATGTATATTTACATGAATTATAAAAGTGGAATGATCAGTGTAATGCCCAGGCTCAGAACTCGATGAAGGCGGGCCGGGCACAAAGTCGCCTGGGATGTACGTGGGATTACATATAGTACTTGGTCGGGGTTCACTCCTGCGTGATGTAGCATCATGGTATGCACATGTTTCGTTTGTCATAAGTCAAGCTGCAAAGAGCGACCAGCCAGGGCTCCGAAAAGATGTAAGCCCAAAAGCTCTTTCAGGGATCGATGTTGAAGCAGCAGTCGGATTAAAAGCACTGGCATTGCAAGTTGCACATGTAGTGGGAAGCCGCTCGATCACACAGTCCCAAACTCTTTGCCCTTTGCCCGATTGCCGGCTCCCGAATGTTTGGAAATCCCGAAACCCAAGACCCCTACCTTTCCCTAAGGCTCCAGTTACTTAAATAGTAGGTTACTAGCCATATATTATATACCCCAGTAACCTACGATAAGCTATTTAGGTAGCTGGAGCCCTAGGTTCGTAAGTTTTTACAAATGTATGTATATATATATATATATATATATATATATATATATATTCATTTAGTGATTGCTTCGGATCTAGCATATAATCTATTTCCTTGTGGGATTCCCGTAAACCCGACGCCCATTGCTGCTTCGAGATCCACTACGTAGGCACGATCACACACCGTAGCCGGCCATACCGCCATCGGTCGTGCATACGAGAAGAACCTGGGTGGATACTTCGGTTGGCTTCAGTCGATGTATACATCAGGGTTCATGCCTCAGGGATGGGCAGTTTATGCACAGGCTTGAACTGGGATTCTGCGATCGGATATGTCGGTTTCCAAACCTCCGGCTGTCCGTCTCAGGCTGTCCGGACTACGGCGTGAGCCGCTCGAGGGCTTCCGGCTTTTAGTGCGGAGTTTAAGGTTTAGGGTTGAGGGTTTGGTTCCGGGTTTAGGGTTTAGGGTTATCGATTATTATAGGGTTTAGGGTTATAGATGATTATAGGCTTTGAGGATTAGCTAGAGCTCCGAAGCATTAATAGAGCACACTGCACACCAAAACCGGAAGCCCAAAGCGCCGATCGTGGGGATGAACATCCCCAAACCTCAACCCTACGACACAACTCCATACCCCGACTATGCCCAAATCCGTGAATTTAAGCCCCCGACAGCCTTAAGCCCGAATCCCTCCTTGTTGAGCCTATGTCTATATATTAGAAGCCGCCCCCCACCCTGTAATAGTGACTATAAGATCATAAAGGATTATATTAGGGCCCTATTATATTCCACTATTACAGGGTGGGGGCAGCTTCTGATCTATATATTCTTAGCATGATGAATTAAGTTAAATCGTGGCAAGCAACCCGACATCCCCAGTCCCTGCTTGGACCTGATATCTTGACACTAGTACTACCGTTACTCGCCATGGCAAACGATCCGAACTCTCTCAACCCTGAGCCTCAAGACTTCTACTTCGAAGCCCCAATCGTCTGCATAGCAATTGATAAATTGTGTTGAAAGGAGCGAATGCTCCAATAGGATCCAAACTGCAATGGCGACTTCGACAAGGTGACTTCGTCCTAAGGTCAGTTCCCAATTCCTGAAAACCCAGCAATGTGTCGAAGGAGCCTGTCCAGGCCGAAGACCAGAGGGAGCAAAGTCTTGTCAACCTCAAGGCAAGTAGTAGTAAAGTAGTAGTCCTCCTAGTGTGGGAATGTGAGTGGGACTAGGAGTGGGAGTAGGAGTAGGAGACTAGTAGCTAGCAGCAGTACTAGTAGAAGTAGTAGTAGGCAGCAGCAGCATTACGTAGTAGCACTAGTAGTACGTAGTAGTATAGTACTACGGCTGATGGTATAAATCCTGCATGACCCATAATATGGAATGTACTAAAATTCCCATAGTTTAGGGTCCTTATAAGGTAATGCAGGATTTATATCATCAACCGTAGTACTACTACTACTACTACTCCTACTACTACCACTACTACTACTACTACTACTACTACTACTACTACTCCTACTACTACTACTATACTACTACTACTACTACGACTACGACTACGACTACTACTACTACTACTACTACTACTACTACTACTACTACTACTACTACTACTACTAGTAACTACTACTGCTGCAAAACACTTCAGGCCGGCAAACAGCATCGAGATATCCCGTGGCGGCATCAGACTGTAGTATAGGTCAGGATCTTGATCGACTCCACATCCAATAACCGTTCCTGGGTTGTTCTGTCAGCTCTATCTGCTGTGCAAGACCACGTCTCCCTCTAGAGTATAATGCCATGACACATATTCCGGGCTGTGCCGGTGGACGATAAAATCGAGTCCATATATGGCCGGAGTCATCGGAGATTCCAGCGATGCCAGCCACGAGAAAAAGCGCCACATCACATATCGTTGGCCTCGGATGATCATCTCTTCATTATGTACAGTTTAATTATAAGCTTCAGGGGCGTTTTGACACTCACACTCGGACAAAGCCTGGCTTCAGGGGTTTAAGGTTTAGGGATGTACTACCTATAACCCTTCGGATTGTAACGACCTATAACCTATAACCATACAGGGTCGGGATAGACTGGAACAGGCCTCAGTTTTCTAGTCAAGGTGCTGCCTGCTGAACAATTGCATGAAGCAGCCACATGCACGAGCCAACAGCACAACATGTATCATGCCTGTGTCATCACTACTACTACTGCAGAACCTTTCGAATGACACTCGAAATCTGCAGGGCTGGCAACTACACATTTGGACCCGTCGAAAGCAGCATCTGCGGCAGTCGTGTCCACTACTGAACGGCAAAGCCGAGGCCCAAAATGAACAGCATGGTTTATGTGTTCGGGCAGGATCACTATGTCGGGGAGGCCATCAAAACCTCATCCTGTAAACTGGACCCTTTCCAGTCAGGACGATCACATCCATTCCACAGCAGCTCTACTTCACGGCCTTTTCGGCCCGGCGCTGGGCCGTCAATTTTGCCAAAGCCATTTTGTCCTGCTCGAAGGCATCTTCCACCACCGCCATTTCCTTGCCCTCTTCCAAAGACTCAGCCTCAAAAAGGCAACCGGATGTTTGGCAGCTCGACACTGTTGCCACTGCCACGAAAAGTATATGCTATCTATTTACCGGCAAGCCACGGCTTTGATGCAAGGGTCAACAAGCTCCTTCCACGTGATAGGCAGCCCCGTGTGCTTGCCGGAGATGAACAGCACCTGCTACTTAGCTGCTACACAATGCCGCAACACTACCGCACACATCACAAACTGACCTGCACGGACATCCTGCCTGCTTCTTAGGCCTCGCTGATGTCGCTTTGCGCACGACACCACACTCGAAAGGTCGGCTCCAGTACGGCATCACCTCAATGCTGGATGAGCTTGTAACAGCAACAACATACTGCCAGCACGATTTGTGATAATGTGCGGGTCTATTGCCAGCTGAAGAACTCTGTAGTTCTCAAGCTCCGGGATGCTGTCCAGCACCTCCTTCTCCTCGGCTGTCCGGTCTTTCTTGTTTTTCTTGTCGTTCTTGCCTTTATCATCATTCCCGTCTGCTTCCTGCTCGCCTTTCTTTGCTTTCTTCTCGGGCTTGGCTTCAGCATCGATATCCTCCTCCTTGCTTTGCGCCATCCCGGCGGAGGCCTCGACCACTTCCGTCTCCGGCCCAACCTCGTCCACCTCGTCGACCTTCCGCTTTGCAGCTGCTGGCCGCTTCAATGCGGCACCACTCCTGCATGATATTATGAAAGTGATCAGCTATATGGAATGAATTGCAACCGTGCTCCTTCCACGGCCGCCTCCACGACCGCCGCCTCCACGGCCACGTCCTCGAGTCTTCTTTTCCGCATGCTCAACAGTTGCCTTCGCCTTAGCAGCTGCTCGCCTCGGATGGAATGTACATGTACACTCTAAGTGCGATTGTACGTGCTGTCATGCCAAATGCAGCCCATGTGCATGCAAGTACTATATTCAGCTGGGAAACAGTTTGGACTGCAGCTCGGACAAAGCAGCATCATCCTCACCGCCTGCTTCCTCCAACACTTTTTCAGCCTGGCTGGAATCCCAGGTTGGAGCTTCGGCCACCAAGGGTTTGCGATCCTGCAAGCTTCGAAATCCATATCTTCAAAATTTCATGGAGTGATCCTTCCATGAAGTCCTTGTCGCTCGTTCGATCGCCGTGGGAGTCCTCGGAGTCTTTCGGATCCTGACAATAATCAAATTTAAAAGCAAAACATAATATAGATACTGAGGGATTGGGAAAGAGATGTCATGACCATACATCGTACACATACATGCACATGGTACACACATAGGCGCTATCCCAGAATTGTCCTTCTCGGGCTTCGGCTTCTCGGCTGATGGGGGATCGGGCTGGGTGGCTGGCACCTCGTGTTCCTGCACATGGAGGTTGCAAGCACATTGCACAATAAGCACATGCACACATGTCTGTACGATCGGTCTGATACTGAAAATGCTCTTCCTCCTGCTCCTCAACGATCTGGCTGTCTGCATCTGTGGATAGCTGAATCGCACCCTGCATGCAAAGAAACATCATTAGATTTTATGAAGCATGCACCAGCTAGTCCTCGAAAGCAGGCACCGGTGGGTAGCTCTTCTCCACTGCCTGTACAACTGCAACATTTTCATGTGCAATATTCTGCTAAATGTATCACAGAAGGCTTCACGTCAACCCTCGCCTCAACCCCATCCTCAGCTGGAGCCTCTGCCATATCCTGGTCCCCAGCTTCGGTTGGAGCCTCTGCCATATCCTGGTCCCCAGCTTCGGCTGGAGTCTCTGCCATATCCTGGTCCTCAGCTTCGATTGGAGCCGCTGCCATATCCTGGCCCCCGGATTCGGGTGGAGGCTCTTGAGCTTTCAAGATGTCCTTGAGCATCTGTATCTTGGGAGACCTCATACACACACAGACACACACACACACTCTCTCTCTCTCTCTCTCTCTCTCTCTCTCTCCACATCTGTCTGTCGAGCTCGCCACCCACCGCATGCATATGTGCCGGAAAGCAGCTTCGATCGATCCGGAGTTTTCCGGTACAATCTCACCAAATAGATCACTCGTCCTCGCAAAGTCCCGGAGTGGTAATCCACCCACATCTGCAAGCCAGGTGCACAAACATGTATTCGCTCGGCAACTGCAACACTGTCACAGCCGCTGAGGACGAGTCTACACATGCACACACACACTGGAGCCGGCCTGGCTTTCCTTTTTCTTCACATCTTTGCCCATGATATCGTGCTCTTTCAGAATCCATTCGAAACCGTCCTGAGCCGAAATGCGTATTCTGTAGCAATTAGGAATCCGTATAATGTAATAGCATGACAAGATACCTTGTACTTTCCCAGAGGGGGCTGACTGCACCCGAAAGATGCAAGCAGTGGAGCGATCGCCTCGAAAGCAACCTCCACGGCAGCATCTGATATGAATTGGAAGGGCTCCAAGAGTTCATGCCCCTCAGATGGACAATGCAGACTAGTAAGGCAAAACTATGAGCATACCACCACACTTCCAAATCCCCTTGCTGCCGAATCTCTTCCTTCCGCCTCGCTTCTCCAGCACGGCTGTGCTTCTTCCCCTCGTCTTTGCCCCGAACCCACTCGTCCAGGATATCCTTGATCACCATGGTCCTCGAGTATGCAATTGCAAGCTACGACAAATACTCAAATCTTGGCTCGCGGTCAAACCCCGTTAGCTAATCCACAGCAAGCCACTCGTAATCGTTCGATACATCGAACTCATCATCGTTATCATCGGCTGCCGCAACAACGGCACACCCATCATTCGACATGACCCTTCAAGGCCTGGAACTGCTGTGAAGCAAAACGGCTTTTAAAACCCAAGCCATGCATGCATGCAAAGCGCACAAAATGCAACATGTACAGCAGACTACACCTGCATGTAAATGCACACAGCCGCACACGATGCAGGCAAGCCGGCAGGGGGGGTACACGTTTCCGCTTGTTCTTCTCCAGCAACTTGCTTCGAGAAAGCAGCAGGGCTCGCTGCATGGCAGCGATTGCAAAGCACCGTTGAGACACGGCATAGATCTAGACAGCACAGCACTGCATGTATATGACATGCAATCGGCATGTCCTGGTCCTGGGCTGTAGGGTGCTGCTGGCTTTCAGGTTTCAAGACATTGCAGGGTTTTAAACAAATGCTTGCTCCAAGATTAGGGTGGCATAGCTATTGTTTCCGGGATGTCCAAACGGGATGAACCGGAAACTGCAGGCCTTCCATTCCGACATCGTGATCAACTGAATCTCTCGGTTTGTCTCCATCTGTCCCCATGTATATATACCCTCTGTCCCCATGTATATATATATATATGTATACATATATATATATATATATATATAAGCTATTATATATATATATATATATATATATATATAATATATATATATATATATATATATATGTATTGTACTAGTACTATTAATAATAACATGTACGCATACTTTCGGGGGACAACATCGGAACTGGTTCCAGGAACTGGCCCCTTTTGGCTGGTAACTGCGCTCAGAGGTTACCAGAACAGTTCTTCATATATCGGTTACCAGCCGCATTGGGTTCATTGTCATATCCCAGCATAGCAGGCAGTTGTGCACGCAAAGCGAAGGCAAGGGCGAACACAGCAGCAGCAAGCTCCGGTTCGAAAGAAGAACGGACAGGAGCGTGAAATGTTGCGACGGAGCCTGCAGTGGGTGCCGTGGATGCACAATATCCAAGCCATTTCCAAACACCTTGCTGAAGTGCGATGACACAAAAAGCCCAGCCAGCCTGAGCCGGAGTATTGGCAGCAGCTGGGTAAAAGGAGCCGTCGGTGTAGAATTGAAGTGCTTCGAGACTACCGCTAGTGACCCTGGGCATTTGCTGCATGAAAGCCCGTAAGTGCGGTGGCAATGCAATATCCTCAAGGCTAGGCTGGAGTCCCGACAATCCACACTCTTGCAATGCTTCCTGGAGCATGTCCGCATTTGCGCCAAGCCGGAGTTGGAAGCCGGAAGCGGCTTCATCGGCTGGGATGCAAGCCTCTAGACAGATACGGTGGGGGAGTTCATTCGTTGTATCAGCATGCACGCACCGCCTTTTGCCTGTCTCGACAGCTTCAAGCTTTGGATCCGTGCAGGGTGGGGCGGGGACTGTGTCGGGCAATAGGTGCGGTGCTGCAGAGGGTCCCTGGGCCAGGTCTGCGTTGGCACTGCCAGCCGGAGCCTTGTCCTTCCTTTCTCGAAACAGGTTATCATCCGTAGAAGCCGGTGCGAGAGGAATCGCGCGTCGGCCAAAGGGGGTGGGCACTGCTAGCCCGGAAGATTTGGAAGGCGGCGGCGGGCAGGTGACCTGTGCATTGCGGCATGTGCATCCTTCACGGCGTCGCGCCAGACTGAGGCCGTCGCAGCGGTCGACCTGTGCATTGATCCCTCTAACAGCCCTGATCTGTGCCAAATTGGTTCCCTCTCGCTGAACCCTCTGGACTGGGTTGGGTCTAGGGGCAGGTCCCTGTGGTCCGGCGCCAACAGGTAAGGGCAAACCTCTGGCAATGAAATATGCATACGGTCTGGCGACCGGAGGTAGAATGAGAACCTCAATCACATTGCCATGCTCCCAGGGTCGCCTGGGCAGCTTGTAGATTCCACCTTCTGGCAGGGGGATCGGCAAGTTAACTTCATTTGGGCAGAGGGTCAGCACAAGATAGTGTCCCGGGTGGCTGGTGCGAGGCATGAAAACGTTACGGTATGGGGAGCGAACATCTGACGAGATGAAGACCGCATACCGTCCGTATAGTTGAGAGGCCGGGGAGATTTGCAGTGTGGCCGCAGGGGCCTCTGGGAACTGGGCAAGACCTGCCTGCGCTTCCTCTAAGGAAGGGAACTGCGGGGCTGGAAGCCTGTATCGGATGGGTCCATGAGTAGGTCCTTGGATCTCGCAGGTTCCCTCCCAATGCACATGTGGGCTCTGAAGCCTTCGCCTTTGCCTTACCTCTCCAGGCACGTCCAAGGTGTGTGCACTGGGGCCGAGAAATTGGGGCCACACAAAAGCCTCGACAATCGGAAAGAAGTTGAGAATCGCTCCCAGCGGCGTGCTCGTAGGGACGGCGTCCCCAATTGCATATTGCATGCAGGTAGTCCCCAGTGCAGATGGTGCGTCTGAGAAGGCTGCTGGGTACTCCGTTCACATATGTCTGCACATCGTGTTGCTGCCATGCCGGAGCTACCAACTGGCTACATGGAGTGGCAGCTGAGAGCATGCAGGACATAAGGGTGCTGTCGTGGCTTCGTTCGTCCACTGCAACCGTGATGGGATCCATGCCGGGCCCGTGGCACAACATCATCACAAGTTCCTGTACACCTTCGACACAAGGTGGCTGGGCGCTGGCCGTCACAACATAGAGAGGCCCTCCAGGCCAGGGGTTTTGCGCCAACACCTCTAGGACTGCCGTCCAAAGGATGGAAGTGAACTGGTAGCCTGGAGAGGTGATAGGCACTGTGTGCGATGCAGTCCCATGAAGGAGGGTGAGGCGATAAAGAGTGCCAATGGGCCTGCCAGGGGCAGTGGTTGTAGTGGATGTGGTAGAAGCGGAAAATTGTGCAAACGGGTCGCACTCGTAGCCAGTGTCCCGACTGCTACGAGAAAGCGAGTCGGGGGTTGGTGGGCACAGTGCTGTCACTCCTCCAAGTCGCCAGGCAATCGGTGTCCAAGCATGCCGAGCGTATCGATGACGACCATGCTGCCCATCCGGAGGGCGTCGCAGATAGGAGACGCAGGGGGAAGAACGCGTTGCAGTCGGTCAATGGCAGTGGTTACAAATTCTCCCTGCATGTGCAGCACTGTACGGATGTTTCCGCCAACTTCCCGTAGGTCCCAAGGGACCGGTGCATGGTCTAGCCTCACCTCAGCCTGAAACAAAATGAATTGCGGTCGTGGCAATCCAGGGATAGTGTCAATGAGGATTTGGATGGCTCGGACACGGAAGGGAGCGGTTGCTAAAGCAACCTCCACAAGATCTTTCAGAGTGGAGGTGCGTCGCTTTCCGACAAGCACAACGTGCCTCTGAGTGTCAAACACAGTGAAGCGCTCACGGTTCTCGGCCACGTCCGAGCCCCAGGAGAACATGCAAACATCTTGGTTATGGTAGTGTGCCGAGTCCAAGTACTCGGGTAGGAGCGTGGCATCCTGTGGTCCATGACCCCACCCCTTGGAGGGCGATGTAGGCATAGCGCTTAAAAGGAGCGCTGGTGGCTCTGCTCGGGTCCCGATTGGCATGGCTTCTCCGCTGGATCGGGCTTGTCCCTGAACAAAAGTGTGAGTGGTTGTAGAGGTCGTCTCGGCAGCCTGCAAGAGAGGTGGCGGCCTCGGTACACGGAAGACGATTGCTGGGCCGCCTTCGTATTCTGCCTCGATGCGGGGGCCGTCTGTAGAGGTTGGCCTTAAGGCTAGCCATTCGGGCCCATCAGGGCCCTGGTCAACGCCCGTGGGGATCTGCCCGCATTCATTGAAAAAGGTGAGTTCACCTCGGGCCTGTGCCTGGCGGAGCCTGTGGTGCGGGTCCACTCCTTTTTCTGCTAGCGCTCTCCATATGACCTCCCACGCACATGGAACAGGCACAAGAATAGTGTGGAGGAGGCCGTTCACCGGTCGGAGGTCAACCGCAGTGCCCGATGGTCAGGGGCCGCGTTTCTGGCTGTGAGAACGACCTGTGGCACAGGGAGTCCTTCTAGAGGCCTCGTGACAAACCAGATTGAGCGCACCTGATATGGGACTGTATATACTGCAGCCGTCATATAATCCAGGACGGTCCAGTCTTGGCGGGATCCGCGGACGAGGTGACTCTAGAATGGTGAAAAGTCGCTGATCTTCTGTATTATCAGCTCGAGCAAAGAGCCCCCTGATCTCGAAGGGTGACCAATTGAGGAGCGGTCCGGTCAACCATTGCGGCGTGATGGGGAGCTGCGCAGTGAGCATGGCTCTCAAATCGCTAATCAGTGGTGGTGGTAGCGGAGCCTTTCGTGTTGGCTGACCGGCGGGTATCTGCAGGCCCGGGGGCTTAGACAATAGATTTTCGGCTTGGGGCAAAACTGCATTCGCTGGGGCCGGTTTGTGCGGCCATAGGAAGATTTCCACACCGGCGTCGGGCTTCGGAGTGCCAAAATGCAAGTGGATGGGGCTTGTGGATCGCAAAGCCGAGGGAAAAGACGGAAAATGAACGAGGTCACACGCAGTGCTGGGAACACCCCGCACATGCTGCGATAGGGTATGGAGTTGGCAGGATTGCCAGTCGTCCAGAATGCGCGTTCTGGGCATGTTGTGAGCGCAGGGCAACGAAGTGTAGTCAACCTCCGTGCCCGCAGTCGGAGGAAGGCTGGGGCAGATGTTGGCAGCCAAGGCTCGACAGGAACCGACCTTGCAGCTGCATGGTCCGCTGGCAGCGGTGAGGTCTGCACCGCGGGTCGACAGGGAACCGCCATCGGTGCAGCAAGGTCTTGAGCATGGAACTTCCATGGTGTGTGTAGTGGTAAAGGTCGATCTCGAAGCTGGAGCATGGCGGCATTGGTTGACCGCTCGTGCCCAAGAGTTGCGCAGGATTCCGCTGACCGTGACAGGGAACTGTACAGTCATGTGGAGCAAGTGAGCCTGTACATGCAAGCAGGACGTCGGCTTGCAGGAAGATTGACCTATCGACTGCGCCAAGTTCGTTGCAAGGGATAGCGCTGCCTGAGAGCGAGGTGTCTCCACCACATCGTCGTCCATCGGGTGGCGGAGGCCAACACCGAGACGACGGAAGGTCGAAACGACCTCCTCAATTCCAGGGCTACCCCTTTCATAGTGTTGCAGGCAGCATTCATCATTTGGTGCAGCCAGTGTTTCCCAACACAGCATATCGTCCTGCTCCCAAGCAAGACGAGGATCTGGCTGGGCAAAAACCTCCGTCTCAAAATTGTAGTCGCACTCATCCAGTCGAACCTCAGACTGGAGACATCTCGCGTAGACCTCCGCCATCATAGGCGGCACGTAGTCCTCCGCCCCTCGCACGCTGTGGAAGAGAGGCGGGCATCGCCCGGTGGGTCCCTTTCGGCTCGGCACCGGGCCTATCGAGGGGGCTGCTTGGCCTCCCCGCTCTCGCGGCCTTGGTCGTTCGAAGTAGCAGAGGTTCCATCCTTGTCTCCCATCTGCTGTTCGCTCTCCGGGCCTCGTCCTTTGCGGCGCGGGGTCCTTTCTCTCAGGCCGGTGAGCTCCTGATCTGCTGCTGATTTGGCTGTCCGCAGGGCCTGCACAAGCTGGTCTTCGCCTTGGAGCGCTTTTTGCGCCGCAACAGATTTCGCCGCCTCTCGAGCTGCGTCCGAGTTCACGATATCCTCCATGTCCTCGAACTCCTCTTCCTCCACATTGACAACCTGGGCGGATTGGGTCGTGATGGCCTGTGTTGCACTCGAGAGCTGCTGGGTCCATTTGGCCTCGGCATCGTCCAGCTTTGCATCTGCTCCGCTTTGGCCTTGGTCTGCTTTTCGAGCAAGTCCGTCAGAGTCCCAAGGTACGTAGTCCACTCCGTGAGGAATACTTCTCGAGCATGTCTCACAGCCTGGAGCTCCTTCTTGGCCTGCGTCTGTTGTGTCACAAGCCTGTGTAATCCCTTGGAGGTGAGGCGAACGTCTTCCTCCAGATGCTGCTGCAAGACCGATTGCACGCTGGTCGGCAGGTCCTCTTTCACTGCCGACAGTGCTGCAACCAGATCGCTCAGGGCCGGCGCTCTTTCCACTTCTGAACTGGAACCGGGCAGGCTCACTGCAGTTGCCTGTGGTGCGCGGGGAAGAGCATCCAGCTTTCGGCGCTCCTCGCGGCGTTTTCGCGGTGACGCCGGGACTTGCCATCCATCGCCCCAGTCCTGCCTTCCAGGACCTGGTCGCTCTGGTTGCGCGTAGGCGGCCGTAGTCCACTTTTGCCCACAGCCCGGGCAAAAGGTCGCGCTGGCTTTCACATTTTTCCTGCAGGAATAACACCACCAGCTCTGGGCCTGCTTCATCCTTTCTTTCGCAAGGACTGGCAGCTGAGAAGCTGAATGGTGATGCTCCAGTGTCTGTATGGCAGTGTAGACCGCTCGCTGCGGCGTAGCAATGCCCGAGGTGTAGTTTCTCAAAACCGTTCGCACAACTGTCCTGCTGCGCCGACGGCGCCTGTGCCAGGCAGGCTCTCCAGGAATCTTGGAAAGCCGCTGATCGCGGGAACCCCAAAAACCAGAAAAGAACAGGTAGAAGAGGTAGAAGCCACCGTCCAGTCCCTGGCATGCGGGTCAACTGGCGGGGCCAAACTCCAGCGGTCGAAGACCGGGAGTGTCGCGGAGCACCCTCGCAAAGCGTACAGGTGTCCGCCCAGATCAATGGCACGAGGGTTGGGGATACACAGGCTGGTCGCTCTTGCGGACACCAGCCGTGCGGTGCGGGCCCTTCAGGCCACGCAGGGTCTTAGGGCTCGGGTGAGTTATCAAACCGATAAACACACCTGAGCCGAGACGCCTCCTGCAGGGGTTTAGGGTTTAGGGTATTCGGCTTTCTGGTTCAGGGATTTTCGATCCAATTGAATCATGACGGATAGTAGCTTGGGTGTCCAGCTGGTCTGGGGACGGAGGGAGAAGTTTTGGAACTCATGTCGTTGGCACTATCAGTGTATGGCCGTCTCCAAGCAGCACCACCTGAACACTAAAGCCTGAACTCCTAATCCTATTTATAAACCCTAAACCCTGAACTCCTGAACCCCAAGCCGTAGACCCTGAACTCCTGAACCCCAAGCCGTAGACCCTGAACTCCTGAAGCCTATACCAGAACCCCACTTCTCTGCCAAACCCCAGCAATCAGGCTGACAATCGCAACAAGCAGAACAAATACAGATGCCGCAACCCTATGATGGGAAATGCAGCCCCGGTCGGACATCCTTCGAACGCATGGGCCGCGATCACCTATAGGTCCGAACAAAACGTGCACCATGTATGTATGTATAGATGTATGTCTGCATGGATGCATGTATGTATGTATGTATGTATGTATGTATGTATGTATGTATGGTGTCTATGTACACTCACACAACTATCTACGTACTCTCATCGTTAATTATCTGTGTTTTGTGATTTACCTGTTGGTTTATTGGATGTACATGCAATATGCCTACCTATACCCATATACACATGTCTATCTATCTACCTACCCACCTATGTATCTAGGAAGCTAGCTACCTATCAACTTGTAAAGAAGTATGAGGTGTATTTGTCCATATATGTATATATGTACCTCTCTCTCTATATATATATATACACACACATACATACAAATTCACAAATATTTCGGTGTATACATATATATATATATATATATATATACATGTACATATATATATATATATATATATATATACATACATACATACATCTGCTGTTTCTGCTGTTTGGGGCGGAGTGTCGATGTGACGCGGCCCTTTGGCTGCACCTAATTAAGTGAAACCGAAAGAGAAGCTACCAGTTGCCCACCATCAGGAATCCCGGTGACTCGCATCTGACAAGACCAGGGAAACGCTGCAGAGGGAAGGCAGACATTGGTAGCGGAGACGGGACAACGAGCCGGGAGGGAATGCCGCAAATCCAATGGCTCACAGCAGTTCGGATGAGCTCACAAGCGAGCTCAAAGCCAGGTAGCTGGGAGGTGAGGGATGGGGCAGCCCGGTTGGAGTTGTCGGGCTCCGTCAGCGGCAAGCCCAGGACCGACAGACAATAGAAGCATGTCGGGTCCGGGTATGCCAAGAAGTCAACGACTTGGCCGTCCCTGAGCTCCTGCAACGTGTCATGGTGTTCATAACACAGACAGCGGGCGGCAGGTACTGGCATGCTAAAGTCAGCAGGAAGGGGTCCAACACGAACCCAAATGGTCTCAGTGCTGACCTGAGCGGGTGGAGCCCATCGGAGACGGGTAAAATCCAAAAGATCGAGGTAAAGGCCACTGTGTTTGTACGTGTCGGTGTTGGGCCGGTCGGCAGAAGGGGCAGGAACCAACCAGGTGACGAGATCAACGGAACAAAGCTTGCGTGCGGCCTCACGAAGGATGGCAAGGGTCTGCATGGCGGTCCGCTGCGCTGGATGATCAAGCAACTGCTGCCAAACGGTGGCCGTAATGCGCAGCCGTGAGGCCTGTAGACACACACAGGAGAAGGCGGCTCGGAGTCGGTCCCACACCTCGTCTTCCGTTAGGCTGGGGACCAATCCATCATGGTCGAGGAGGGCAAGGCAATCGAGGATTTCCGCCGATGGCCTGGCGGCTTCCTCCTCAACTACAACCTGGAGGGGGCAAGGCAGTGGTCCAGATGCCTGGAGGACGGGCGTCAAATCCACCCCATCATCATGGGCCCTGCGGTTGCCAATTCCAGGCTCAGGGTCATGTCTAGAATTCGAGGACAGTAGGCGGTTGCGGCATGCGCTGCTGTACCCGAGGTGGCGGCTCAACTTCACAGCCGAAGTGAAGTGTTTGAGACAAACGGGGCATTGGGTGCCAGGCGCGAGTCGCCGCATCTCGTCCGTGCGGCCGTGGGTGGAGAAAGCATGCACTGACCACGCCCTATAGTCCTTGAAGTGCTTGCCACATACTGCGCAACATTCTCTGGGCCCTTCAGAGAAATCATCGCATAAAGGGAGCGAGGCTCCAGCTCCCTGCAGCTGTCGGAGCATCCGACCCTGATGCCACAGACGTGTGGCCTGCCAGCGCTCCCGTATAACTGCGTGAGCCTGAGCTCTGCGTATGCGGGATTTCCACCTGCCTGGATGGTCAGCAGCCTCTTGACGCCAGCTATCCCATGCCTGTTCCCAGGTGGAGTGCCGATGTTCCGGAGCCGTATTGTCCCATAACCATTGCACGGACTCTGACACACTCTGGGCCAGGGCCCAGAGCTCTGGCACGTGGAGGGTAATGCACGACAGCAGGTATCTGAGCCTATGGACGTGGAGATAGGTGTTGGCACTGGGCAGCCCGACTAAGGCAAGCACATGTGATGTACCGAGGTGCCAGGCCTCTGTGCAAGAGTACATCGGCCGAAGCATTTGGCAAGCCATGCTCTGTCAGCTTCTGCACACACTCCTCCGAGGGTTCCGGCCAGGTTCCTGAGCCGTAGAACATGGTGGTTGCGACCAGACTGTCAAACAGGAGGGCTTTCTCTCGCCGGTCAACGCGAGGGGAGCCGAAGATTTGTTTCTTACGGCTATTGAAGGCCGTCCAGGCTTGTGCGATGCGCGCCTTCACTTCCCGCAGTAGACTTCCGCGGTGGTGTAACACGCCGCCTAGATGTTTGTAGGTCGCCGTCAAACGCAGTTTGGCCTCAGGCCAAAGCCGGCAATTCAAGGGGAGTGTGCCAGCAAACTCATCAAAGAGCTGGCGTTTGACATGGCGCGCTCCTTTGGCACGGAGATGGACAAGTGCTTCGGTTTTGCCGCGTTTAAGATTCGGTAGCAGAGCGTGCTCCAAGCAAGTGTCTAGCAGGGTAGAGGCACCCAGACGGAGGCGCTGCACCAATGTTTGCGAGTCCGGTGCCTGGAGAAGCAGGGATAGATCGTCCATCCAGGTTGCATCAAGCACAGCAATGGTGTCTGTGGGTGCTCGATTCAACGGTGTGAGCCTGCCAAGCATGTCAACATGCCACGGAATCTCGGGGATGAGGCCACAGTCCTGTAGCGATGCACGCACGTGTCGTAAAACCTGGGCAAAGAGCAGGCTGAAGACAAGGTCTGACAGGGAGTCTCCCGGTCTCGAGCCTATGGCTGTTGAAACAATGGCGGCATCGCTCGGAAACTTGAACCAAGTCCCATGAAGAGTCTCCTCTAGGGCCTGTGTTGTCCATTGGCTGGCCCCAGCCGACAAAGACAGCGCCGGCTTCTGGAGATGGCGCTGAATGTCGTGGTAAACGCCGGGTGGCAGGCTGACCGCCTGGCAGGCCCTTGCGAGTGCGTCCTCGGTAAGCGGACCTCCAGTCACCAGAGGCCGTACTATACGGTAAAACGCTTCCTGTAAATCCAAGAACAGGATGCTGTGGCAATGGCCCCTTTGAAGGCAGGCGGATTGGTATAGTCGTGTAGCATGTGCAGGCAATGTGACTGGGTGACCAGGCAGGCCGCCAACTTGAAGAGGCGAGGCGGCATTGCACAGCGCAGGGACGCATTTGCGTCGCAGCAGTTTGTGTAGGGATTTACTAACAACTGAGGACACAAGTATCCCGCGGTAAGAAGAGCACTGTTGTTTGGGTCCTTTGCGTTTGTAAACGCAGTGGAGAACTCCACCCTTGTGCTGGACAGGCTCCGCCAATGTGAGCAGGGATTTCAGCTGTAGCTGAAAAACGGGCCGGGCGAGGAGGGGTGCGCAGTAGTGCAGGAGTTCTCCTGGAAGCCCGTCTAGTCCGTATGCGCGATCGGTGGCGGTAGAGCGCAAAGCCCATTCGAGGTCGCCCAAAGTGGGGGCGTCAAGGTGTGTGACGGTGTAGTCATCAAGACTTTTGCCGGCCTGGCGGTGCAAACACTCCCTGACAATCTCACATGGCGAGCTTTGGGAGCCAGCCTCGATTGATGCGAAATGGTCTAGCCAACACTGCCGGGCCTCCTCATCAGTGGCAGCAAGGGTCCCATCCTGGCGTTCAACAGCAGGAAGGGGCGTCCTCTCACGCTGCTTCCGCTTGGGGCCGCCGGTGAGGGTGCGTAGCCTGTTCACAATGGATTGGGTGGAAGATTCCTCTGAAGCCTTGGCGACGGTGCAAATATGCTGGTGATGGTCCTGTCTGATGGCAACTCGGAGTTGCTGACTCGATTGCCGGAGTTCGGCCAGAAAGCTAGGGAGGTCCTTGAGAGCCCACAGGACAGAGGACCAGCCAGCAAGCAGGGAATCAAAGATGCATCTTCCATCGCGCCAGGCTCTAGTGGCCGACCGCAATCGCCATTGGTAGAGCATGCGGGATGCCGCCTTAACACGCTTCCGCAGCCACTCACGTTTGCCGCGCAGCTGCCAAGTGGAGGCGCTGAAATACTCATGCCGGCAAGGTGTGCGGTGGACGGGGAAGGCGGATGCAAGGCTGTGGCGGAAGTATTGGTCCAATGCTTGGGCATGGCGGTGGACGTCCATCGCCCACGGCTGCAGGGGAACACCCTCACATATCTGGCTGAGGGTAGCGCGGCCTTCAGGGGTCCGCATGGCTGCAGTGTCTAGCCGGAAATGTTTGGATCTGGTGGTAGGACCAACAGTGAAGGATCCTTGTGCCCATAGCTGAAGGGCAATGTGATCAGTGCGGCTTTGTCCCCAATCAAGGCGGGGGTTGACCTCACTGGAACCGGCTGCAACATCCCATGAGGATGGGATGGCAATATAATCAAGCCTGGCGGTGCCAGCGCCTGCAGGAGGATGCCATGTGGTGGTTTCGCCGGGGTGGCAACACTCAAAAGTGCTGGGGATCCACAAAGAAAAATGGTCGATGAGGCGGTAGAAATCAATGGGTGGGTCAGGATTATGAGTCCCCCAAACAAGATCTCCAATTGCTCCCGCATGGCTTCGGTGCATATGCAGGTTATAATCCCCAAGCACTACCAGAAGGGCGTCCTGGGTAATACGCCGTAGTAGTTGGAACAGAGTCTGCCACCATGTGTCCCGGTCAGGGCTGGCACTGTGAGGTGCGTGGATGCACACAAATAGGATCCTTAAGGATTGATGGGTATAGCGGACGGCTAGAATCCTGGGGGTCCAGTGCACCGCCAGGAACGCACCGGGCTGAAAATAGACCGGGTGTCCATCTGGTCCGGTGAGGAAGGGGGAGTCCCGACTAAACCATATTTCAACCCCACAGGAGCCGTCTTCAGCTTTGGCACTTGTAAACCGTACATGGCTAGCAGACACATACGTTTCACTTGCACGTGACCTAGTTTCTTGAAGTGCAGCAACACACACTCCTTCGGCCTGCAATTGATCGCGGAGGAAACGGGTCCTACCAACAAACCCGTCATGTTGGGTATCCGCATCGCCTCCGGGCTGGTCCTGTGGGTAGAGGGTTTGCACATTTACCGTGAGGAGATGTGCAGCAATTGTACCCTTAGTCTGGCGTGGGCCATCTGTACAGGAGAGATCTGAGGAGATGCCAAAGAAGGCATCACACTCTGCAGGGGTCGGCATAGGGGCTAGTGTGCAGGGCTGGGAAACTAAGGAGCTACCCCGAAACTCCGGCCAAGCATCAGGTCTGATAGTGGCCTCCGCAACCAGCCAGAGCCAGGGGAAGGACTTACGCCGAGCCAGGCAGGAAAGGTTAGAAAGGACGTCATCTGCCGTCACTCCAAAACCAGCGCAGGCCTGCTTGGCGAGGCAGTCAGCAACCTCATTGCCTGGGTTCCCTACGTGGGAACGGGAGTGGTGTATCTGGAAGTGACGGTCACACGTGGAGCGCAAAAGCTGCGCGGCGGCACGACACTTGCCAGAAAGTGAGGTATCATCAAAGGCACCCCCGGTTCCCGAGACGATGGAAATGGCAGAAGTGCAATCAGAATAGACGTCGACGGCTGCACAGGCTGGTAGCTGAAGACACCAGCATGTGGCCCAAAACAGTGCTACAATCTCGGCGGAGAAAGCCCCCTCGGCATACTCCCCGAGGTACCCTGGATGGGAGGGGTCCGTGGTAAGGCGACCACCTTGCCATCCAAGGTGAAATCTGTGTCCGCACGTGTAGACACATACATGGAACGCCCAGGCCGAGTGGCGACCATCATATGAGCCATCTGTATAAATGTCGACCTGCTGGATGTCACTGTATGAGAGCGCTTCACACCTAGTGTCCCAACCCTCTAGCCAGTGTAGGACATCACTGGAAACATCAAGGACTGGTAATGTTGCAAGGGTCCAGTGTCCGACATGGAGCAGCGGAGCAACGTCATCAAGGGAGCAATCCAGCAGCATCTGTACTTCGGTAAGATCAAAGGCGCGGCCTGATGGGAGGTGGTCGGAAAGACGCAGAACCTGAGCTCCTTGTCCTGTGCAGCCAACGGCTGGAGTGGCCCGAGAGTGGCGAAAAGGCTGAACCTCGATAGGTTGCTGGTCGGATGCGTGCTCGATTAGCGTCTCAAGTAGCGTCGCTGCAAGAAAGAATGGGTAGTAATTGGAGTCGAGCAGGGCCTGCTCAAGCAAGGTGGGCTCAACTGTGAGGCCATCTGTGTCGCGATCATCCTCATGGCGAGGAGGGCCGGTTGTTAAGGGGCGGTCGACTCCTGGCAAGCTGACACGGTGTGGGGCGGTGCTTGCATGTACCGCCGAGAGTGCAGAGGTGTCGGACGGGTGCCCTCGAGCTAGGGCGTCAGAACTAAAGACCGTCGTCCACTTGATGTCTCGATCGGCAGTATGTAGGGAAGTACAACCAGCCCGACTGGGGGTTGGTGTTGGTCTCGTGATGGTATTGGTCGCTGGCCCGGCGCATACATGGTTTAGCGCATCGAGAGGACCGTCTGCAGTTGGCAGGGCAGACCTTAATTGCACAGCCTCATTGACAGAAAGGTGGCACGCAATGGCAAGAACTCCTATGACTACATGAAGCCGCGACCGCCTGACAAGGCTGGCAAGGGCAATGGTCAGTGGGAAGCTCCAGGTGGCATGTCGCAGGTGTGTCGTAGAGTCGGTCCAGGCCGGACTGACACGAGGCTGGGGCCCCTGGTTGTCCCTGCAGTGGAACCCACCTGTCTGGGCAAGACAAGAAATTATGAGACCGCATCCAAGTGCCTTGAGAAAATGCGCGGTAACTCGCATCCGTGTTTTAGTTGCAGCTGTTTCACCCCCGTCGGAGGGGTCAGCACAGAACCCCTTAGTACAACCCCGCGGGTGGACGCAAGACGAGCGCCAGGGAACAGTGATGATGTGGGAACAGCTCCCAGCTATCAGGGTCTGTCGCCTCAATCCGCCCGTCTCGGCAGAGTTAGTGGCAGTGCCGGGGCTAGGCTGAGACGCGCCGGATGACCTGGCCCCTTCTTCGGCATTTGGGCCTGGAGGCTCGGGGTCTGCCGAGGGTCGGGAAGGCCCAGGAGGATGCTCTCCATCGGGAGGGGGAACCGCAACGGCTGCAAAGGCACTATCAGGGAGGAATGAGAGCACAAGGGTTTCACCTTGGCTGATGTGGTATGTCTCTGCAAGAGGGCTAGGACCAGTCTGAGGGTCTAGGCGGCAGATGACAAAGCCTTGAGGGCATCTATCACGAAATCTATCACGGAGTCGTGCCGAGTCAAGGGTATGCTCTGTGACAAGTAGCCAGGTAATGGGGCAGAGCATCGGTCTGGCGTCAATGAAGCACAACTGTGCCTGCCCTTGTGGCACAGAGCTGTCCCTGACGTTATCTTGAACCGCAAGTACATTAAGAGACAAGACCCCAAGATGAGAGTGATCCCGGATGGGGACGTCCGGGGCAGTAAAAGATATGTCATCTGCGGTAGTGTGCAGCAGATGTGCGACGTCAGTACGGAAATGTGGTCGACGTCCGGATGGTATATTATAGGTCCAATGCGCTTGCGGCGCAATCAGCCACACTGTGTCTCTGAAGGGCATGTTCGGTGCCCACTCGGTTTGCCAACCTGTTGGGGTGGCTAGCAGGTCTCTGAGCGAAGCAGTGGCGAGGTGTCCCTGGGTTACGGGGAGGAATATGACGACGTCACCATGAAGCAGATCATAGTCCGCTCTGGGCGGTAACGGCCAGGGAAGGTCGCGAAGGAAGATTTCAATAGGTGGGTCTCCAGTGAGCCCGGCGGCCTGGAGGAGGCCCTCCCGCCTCACGACTCGAGGGAGTTGGATGGCATACATGGCTCCGTTGACCTGGCTGAGGTCAAAGATAACAACAGCACCATCAGGGACCCAGATGGGAAGAGCCAGGAGAACAGCAACCCCGGCCAGAGGTTGGGGATGAGCAGTATGCACGATTGGAAGGCAAAGCCGCGGGAAAGGGTCTCTGGCAGCATTGATGGCAGTGAGAGCCTCTGCCGGTTCTATGCCTACAGGGAGGCGTGCACGGACTAACTCAGGTGCATAATCCTGGCCGAGGATGACAAAACATCCTTCGAAGTATGTCGTGGCCTGCTCGGTGCGTGGTGGGTCGGCATTGCTGATCTCTGAGGCAGGAGCTGGGCTACTGGGCTGACCGGTTGCGGTGGAGCCGGTAGTCACTGGCCCGGCAGCTGACGCAGGCTGCGGCGCCGGAGGACCTCCACTGGAGGCTGGCGCATCAACAGACCCAGTAGGTGCTGCATCGTCCTCAAGTGGCACCGCATGCATGATCAGAGCGGGTGCCGGGTCTCCGTGAGTATCTGTGGGGACGAGGTACGCAACTATCACCTGCCCCGAATAAACCTCAATTATGTCGACATTATCGTCCTGTTGCCAGAGGCACAATTTCCACCCGATGGGGACCTCCTCAAGGAGATCCTCCTTCAAAGTGGTGCAGGAGAGTCGATTATTGAAGGCATATGCCGTGTGCCATCCTGCAGCAAGTGCACGAAGATCAAGTAGGACACCGGTCCATGGCTCCGGTACGAAATGATTGGCTTCGCATACGGCCAAGACGGCACGGCAAGGCAAACCATCCAGTGTGGCATCCCGCGCAGCAGGCCTTGCTGGAAAGAGGCGGATCTCCGCTGTGCGGACTCCTACGGCGGCCGCAATGTGTGCTCTGTATTGCGTGGGATGGCGGGCATCAGGATGATGCAGAATGCACTCACCCCTGTGCACAAGACAATAGACGAGATCTTCTGGGGGGGAGGGTACAGTAGAAATCGCGCTCCATGCATGCCGGGATCCAAGAGACTGAGTCAGAAAGCGCGGCAGAGGCAGCACAACCCCGGGCGGGGCAAACGTAACTGTCAATCCAGACCAGAGGTGTATGACCGCATCCTCTGGTAGTGGTTGTCTATCATCTCCTACGAAAACGTCAATGCCTAAGTTATGAGAAATGTTGGCAATGGACAGAAGCCGATCCCTGGTGGCATAGGGCGGGGCAGGGGCAGCATAAAGTCTCCCGTCGAAGTGTGCACAGTTGACGCAAATAATGCAGTCATGTCGCTGCCATGGAGCAAGTGAGATAAGGACACCTGTGCCCAAGCAGGGTTGAGGGTCTGCAGGCGTCAGCAGTGTCGACCAGTGCCTTCTGGTGACGACACGTTGTTGTTGAACTGATTCAACAATCTCTGTGAGGGTGGCAGGAAACTGTATCAGGGTATGGACCTCTTCATTAGTGTAGCCAGGGGTCAGGACTACAAAAATTACCTCTTGGAGATCGTCCTCTACCTCGCTCCAGGCCTCAGAGTCGCTGTCTCCTCGGATGTATAGGGCATCCCAAGCTGGGACGTACCGCCATGGGTGACCTAGCCTTGGAGCAAGGTACCGGAGTGCTGCAAGACATTGTCGCTGGCCCTCTGTCGTGGCGACAGGTTCACTGAGGAACTTGGCTGTACGCGGGAGGGGGGCACTCGCTTGGGGCTTCGAGAAGGTTGTGACAAGGACTCGCCGGCACAAATGTGCAGCACAGTACGCAACGAACAGCATCTCGAACCAACTAAGGAAGAGATCCTGAGGCCCGCGGTCCCCGAGGGGGCGGTGGACATGTCCTTCCGTGCAATGAGGCAGACTGCTGGCAATGCCTCCAATGGCAAAGAAGGTGCAAAGCCCGTGACCACTGATGGACCTGGCGTGGGGGTCCGAGCCGAGTCTGCGCTTGCGATTGCGAGACCCGATCGTTGGAGGAGGTGTTGGCGGGTCAGGAGGGGCATTCGATGTGTCAGAGTTGCTGGAGTCTGTCTCATCAGAAGTATCTGGCCTTGGAGGATGGCCAGAGGGTGGGCCGTCCTCGGGTTCGCCAAGGTGGTCCTCTAAATATTGAATGACTAGAACCTGACCAGCCTCAACGTGGAGGAATGTGTGCTCTCCTTCTTGTATCGGCTGTCCTCCCTCAATCGATATGAAAAAGCCGGAGGGTGCCGGTTCGTATTCTCCCATAAGGATCCTTAGGTCTATTCTGCCCGAGTCAGAAATTCGCCAAACAAAGTCCCTAAGGAGGCCACGTAAATCCAAAATGTATGGCACCGCTGTGGGTACAAGCCTTCCCGGAGGAACTGGAATGGTGTTGATCCGCTCAGTGATGAGTAGGACCTTGTGGCAGGAGATTCCTTGGAAGCTGTAGTTGGGTATAGGAGGTCTGGCAGGCTGTAAATGCAGCCGGTGAACCTCACTTTGCAGAAACGCGGCGATGAAGCAATGGGCAGCCTGGAGTGAGTTGGCAGCCGCCGAAGGCATATCAACAATAGTGTTCCACGCATCTGTAAGGAGATATGCGGGGTTAACAAGTGCCCCAGCAAAATCTGGTACAGGTAGCGTCCACCCAGTGGTACGGCGCAGCATCTCTGGCAGTGTAGCAGCTACCGGGAAGGTGCCATCTCCCCGGAGCACAAAGACAACATCGCCTTTGGAAAGGGGAACGGGTTCGTTGTCATGATAGACCCGATCATTATGTAGGACCCTGAACCCTAAATCTGGCCGAAAACTTGCTTGCACCAGGATAGACTTTGGGCGTAGGCCTGATTCAACCTCAAGTGCGAAGATGCGACCGTCTATCCCACGGGCGTCCAGCACAATACATACCCTGGCAGAGGCCCAGAGCGGCAGTGCGAGGAATGTGCAAAAAGAGGCGGTGGGTTGTGGCCGGACAGCAACGAGGTGTTCGTAGCCAAGTGCAAGTCGACTTTGCCGCATAGCTTGCAGCAAATCGCAAGCTTTCTGCACTGTGCAGGGAATGTCCAGGCTGATCTCATATGTCTCTGGTGCAAATCTGGGTGTAAGGACCAAAAACCCAACATGCATCTCAAAGGCGTCGGGCGTGGGGCCAACGTTAGAGCATAAAGGCCCCGAGGAGGCCTGGTCGGTGCTGCCTGAAGGCTCATCCGCTATGGGTTGAGCAGCGCCCTCTGGCAGGTCTTCAAGACCTATGGCCAGTACACGTCCATCCTCTATCGGCAACCCTAAGTGTTCTAGCCTAGGATGCTCCGCGTAAGTTCTAAACCCCCTTGGAGCGCGGACTCCGAGCCAGCGCACGGCAGCTTGGGTTTCGCAGTACCCGTCGCCTTCGAAGAGAAAGCCTAGGCCACGATTAGCCTGTCTTGCATCGACAAATATAAAGTTGCCGAGGTTAGGGCCTGGCGGGATGCTTTCCGACCGAAAGTCGGCGGCTGCGACTTTCTCGTAGAGGAGACCATGCCAGACGACGTCATTGAGGGCATCTGTGGGATGCCCAAAGCAAACATGTTCAAGGTTGCGGAGCATGAAGTCAGCGATGGCCTGCCGTAGGGGCAGATCAAACTGCCCGTAATGCTTGAACGACTGTACACCCTGTGGCATTACGATAAGCCATGCCGATGTGGGGCGTTCCAGCAAGATGTGATTGGGCTCACGGTCCCATGAGGCAGGCCTGGACAAGAGAGTACAGAGATCCGGGCCTCGATGGGGGTAAGTGTCCCGAGGGACGAAGCAGTAAACATCCCCTGAACTAGGTCTTATCGTCTGTCCCGGTGGGATGGGGTCGAAGGTGCGTGGCGCGAACACATGCCATGTGTCAGACGTCTGTGTCAGTGCTTCAGATGCTAGTTCGTCGTACCCTATGCACTCATCGACGCACTTGGCATACGCAGGACCTCCGATCCTGGAAAAGTCAAGCAAAATGACTCGGGAGCCTGCTGCACTAGTCCACTTAGGTGCGAGCACGAAGGAGGCGTAACCCTCGCCAGGTTGAGGATCTGCGGGGTGTACCTGAATCGGTGCAAGCCTGTGTACCTGGGCGGAGGTGGCGGCAATCCTGGTGCACAACTGTCCCACACTTAAATCCTCTGCAACTTGCATGATAAGGTGCTCAGTCCTGTAACATGGAGCGAAAACTAGGCAATGCAGGGGAATAGCACCGGACGCAACCAAGCTTGCGTCCTCACTGAGTGGATGTGGCTCACTAAGGCCTGTGGCTGCGGCCGTAGGCAGGTCTGGTGTGACATGTGTCACAGCCATGGGTGCATCAGGTGCTGAAGGGGGGACCGGAGGTATCGGAAGGTCCTCTGCAAGGGAGGCAAAGGGTCCAGATGGATCAGAAGCTTCTGGCGCGGCCCGTATCGGGACGGGAAGTTGCCAGCAGAGTAGCCAGAGGCCGATTTTCAGCAAAAGGCTGCGGACCCAGCCGAAATTGGGTCGGCACTTGTGTGTCCGTGTAGGTCGCCAGTGCAGAGGCGGAGTGCTGCAGCATCCGACGGACACAGCCCGTGCAAGGACAAGCACAGGGTCGCTGGTGTTATCGACTCGCAGTCGATGTCGATATCTGCGGGGGATTGCAGGGAGGCACAGTAAGCGCAGCAACAGCACAAGCAGGATACCTGAGCAGGCAGTGCCAAAGGCGCGCAGGACGTGCCGGAAGTAGTGACACCACGCAGCAAATGGGTGTATGAGGGAGTCTAATTTAGTGTCAAGACTCACCCTGGGGACTAAACCAAAAAGGGGGAGGGGTGGAGGGCTAAGGTGGTCACAGCCCGATGCAGCAGGTGGGGACCACTCCAAAGCATGGAGCGGGCAGCAAAAACCTGACTGATCAGTCCTGGGGTAATGCTGTCCAGGACTGCAAAGCGAGGCAGATACCCCAGAGCCACCGATGTATCTTTTTGGTGCTCTCGCTCTGCACACGGCCGTCCCCAAGGGATATGAGGAAAGAGGATGGAGGAGCCAATTGGCTGGATGTGCCTCAATAACCTGGAAAAGGGGCAGATCAAGTGTGGCAGGTACCCCAGAGCCACCGATGTACCTTTTGGGCGCACACACTATCGGCCAAAAACCCCGACCCGCAACCGAGATTGGAGAAAGGAGGCCGAGACCCGGCATGGTAGAGCCGGGGGCATTGGCAATAAACCCCCCAAAGAAGGATGGGGCAAAAGGCGGAGGACGATGGTTCCGTCCACCGGACGCACAAACCCAGTGCGCCTGTGGATCGAAACAGAAGGGTCGCCTGGTCAGACAACAGGTCACAAGAGACAAATGTGCCATGTCATCAGCAGGACGTGGGGAGGCGGCGGATGTCAAAAAGACGACGGGATCAGAGACAGCGGGGCGTCTGCAAGCTACAAGGTGAGACCAGATATGTCCGAAGCAATCCATGTCACCGTAGTCAGTGAGTCCAACCGATCCACAGGAAACTCGCACTGCAAGTGTCACCCAGACAGACACTTGCAGGCTTCGTCCCTCTAGACGGCGTGACTCACATTTCCGATGACACCGATCGCTGGACATATCTCTACAGGGTGACATGTCACACAAGAGTCTCAGGCATGTGTCGCAGTATCCGCTGTTCGCCGAGGAGATAACTATCCCATGCCATCCAACTTGTCTGTTTCTCGTCGGATCGCTATATTCTCCTCGTCCGAAGACACTGCCATATTCCCCGCATTGGTCTCGGGCTTTGATTCGGCCTGATCGCCCTGGGAGGGAATGCCGAAAGGCTGCATGGCCTGCCTGCGTGCCTCCAGCTTGTCGGCCAGGCCGCCTGAACCAGTACCGGTGTGGACCGGCTGCAGGGTGGCGCCCTTCACAGGCTGTCTTGGGCCCTTCACTCGTGTACCAGGGCTCGCTGTAGGTGTAGGTGCCGAAAAGGCTGCACCAAACTCCGGTCTGGCCGCAGAGGGTGACGGCGGGTACGGCGTCGGTGGATGGTCCTTGTGACCTGTGTTGGCACCCGGGTCCCCGGTCGGCGGGGGAACTGCACCACCAGTACCAGTCATAACCTCGTGGAGGCTCAGCCCGGGAGGTAGACAGGCCATGGTGGCCTGCAGGAGACGCGCGGCAACTTCCGGTGTCATCATTCTGCCGGCTTCTGTCGGGCCATCCTTCGCACGCTGCTGTACACCATCCATAGCCCTCAGAGCATCTTGCAGGAAACCTTCCTGCATTTCCGCAGGATCGTGTGAGTTGATCAGAGTCTCCCATGCAGCCTCCGCCTCCGTAGGGGGAGCTATCGAAGCTGCTGGCTTCCGGCCATTGACGATATCTCTGACCGCCTGTGCAGCAGTGTGTCCTTGCTGGGTGGCCTCCGCGATGTCCGAGTCGATCTTCTGCAGCGCAGCTTCGTAGCGAGCCCGCTCTTTCACGTACTCCTCGCGGTGTTCCTTCTCGTAGATCTTCCACTGCTCCTTTTTGCGTTGGTTGTCCTCTTTGAGTTTCCTCACCTTCTGGTCCGCCTTCTTGGCAATCGTTAAGGCACGCTGGACATCCTTCATCTCGTCGCCACCAGTGGTAGGCTCCGTCCACGCATTGGCCTTGCCCCGACCTTTCCACTGACTGCCATCTTCTGGTAACGGCATCTGGTCGTAGCGTGGTCTGCCTTTCGGGGAAGCAGAGGGGTAGGCTCCATGCCACACTTTCCACGGCGGTCGCGACGAGGTATATGAGGACCACTCCTGCGGCTGCCAGTCGTCTGCCTTCCATGACTTCTTTCCACCCATATCACAGGCACTGACACGGCTCAGTGAGGGGTTTTTGTATCGTGGGGCAGAGTGATGCCCCTGTAGAAGGGTAATATCCCTCTTGAAAGGTCGAAGGCCGCGTCCACGAAGAGTGTGCAAGCGTCTCCTTGCACGAGATCGCTTTGCTCTCTGTCTTCTGTGCCACGTAGGGGAGCGCAGGAGACGCCCTATAGCTCGTGGCAAGACTGCGTGCGCTAATGCGCACTGGGGCCTTAGGCAATACGGACCCGCTGCTGGGCCGTTCGATCCCAAACCCTACATACATACATACATACATATATATATATATATACACACCCACAGATAATCCTTGTGCATTTGGTGTGTATAAAAACGTCTCCGTATTGGGATACTTGCATCGATATCTAAATTTGAAACCTCTTCCCCTAAACACATTGGCCTCGGAGGAACCATGTCGATCTTCTTGTGTAATAGGTACAGCATAGAACCGTAGAATCTAACGCCAACTCTTCTAGCTACACACACACTCACTCTCTCTCTCTCTCTCCCTCTCTCTCTCTCTATATATATATGTATCTACAATGTATATTGAAATGTATATGAGCCCTGCAGCCCCGCCCTAAACTCAGTGGGTCTCACCAGGAGAAGCCTGAAGCGAAACACACCTCGGACCGTGAACCCAATGAAACCTCACAACGTCCAACAACCCGGTCCAAACCCTAAACCCGAAATCATGAAGTGTAATGCCTGGCGCTGTAACGGTTTGGTGTTGAGGGTTGGCCACCCTCCCGGGCTTCAGCTGTGAGGTGTTTAGGGGTAGGGTTAGGAGCCTGTGGGCCCTATGCCCAACGCAACCTGTCCTCCCCGTGTTCAAGGTCTAGGGCTGTACATGATGCAGACGCATGCTGGAGACTGTTCTTTGTTCCCCGATACGTAATCACATAGCAGAACAGTGCACAATACCAATACTATGCCGTGTATTGTGTAAAAGCTGCGTATCTGCAAAACAAAGGGCTTCATGGAAGAAGCCCCGTGCTACAGAAGCCTAGATTGACCTAGATTACCAATGTTTTCCTCTAGGGTTCCTTGACATAACCATACCATAATACCAATACAGTTTGCGACGCCCCTCTATTGATTCAAACGTGCCGGTCCGCACCCGATCTTGCGCGGATACGCTTCTACAGTCACTTAGGCGGTTCCCTCTTCCTATGAGTTCCTTGTATAAGTCCTGAAAAAGATAGGTTATGTGGGGTTACGGTCGGGTTTAGGATTGAAATTCACCACGTAACCTCACTGTGAATCATGCAGCAGGCCGGAAACTTTTTGCCAAGGCTGAGAAAGTTACATGCAAACCCTTATAATAGGAAACCCTAAACTCTAAACCGTAATCCCTAAACCCCTAAACCCTAATCCCTAAACCCTAATCCCTAAAATCCCAATAATCACTACAACCCTAAACCCTAATCCCTAAACCCGCAAACCCCCCGTCCCTGTGTG